GGGGGGGGGCGGGGGGAGGGTTTCTACCTACCTCAAAAGCATTGGGTGTTGGCTGCAGCCAAGGCTGAGGATTTTGACTGACATGTGCCAACACTCCCGCTGGCACTAAAACCTGGAGGTCCCTGCTTAGAGGGTCTTGCCCCTCCACTCAGGATCAGACTGATAGCTACATTTGGGATCAGGAAAGTATTTTACCTTGTGGACAGAGTGGTATGGATCATGGGTGATTTTGCCCTCTTCTGCCATGAGGGGCATGATTCTCTCCTGGATCTCTGGAGTGCATTTTAACCCCTGGTTTACCTGTGGCAGATTAGGATGTTTCTGGTGTCTTTGGGCAATATGCCTTGTAGTTATGTGACAGGGTTGATTGTGCAGGTTTAGGAATATGTTAGACAAGGTATGGGATAGTTTAAGTAGGGATGATCCTGCCTACTATGTCACCTCTAGAGGTCCCTTACAGCCCTATTTTCCTAGGATTCTAGGTGGAATTAGGCTGCCACCTAGAAAACAATTCCAGGTTTGGCAATTCGGTGCGGAATAAAATAGAAAATAGTGCAACTACTCCCCATCATTCACTCTCTTCAAAACAGCATTATGATGTTGAAGCAGTAAATACGATCACTCTGAGTCAGAAGACTGAAAATCCAGAAGCACAAACGCAGGTAGCAGAAAATCACCTGACCAGCTATGAAAAAGTAGCTGCTTAATATATTTATAGTTTACATGGGATTCAAGTGCCATGGCAGACCCAGGTCCTATCTGTCTTCTTTCCCAAGAAAGGGATTTCTCAAGGCTTCTATCAGTATAGGAAAAATTCAAGAGTCAACCAAAGCAGGGTAAGAATCTTTCCCAAAATGAACTAAATCTGGCCTGCATCATACCTTGATTGTAAAACTGGTCAAATGTAGGGAGAAAGCAAGTTCTGAAGTCACAATAAACTTGCTTTAATACTTCAGGCAAATGTAACACTTAAAGGCTGAATTCTTTACTCTAACTTGGGAAAAACACCAGATAAAAACAGGTACCTAAAGCTATCAGCTGAACTTTTAAAATATAGATGAAGGAGTTTTTTCATCTTTGAAGAATTTGGGCTTTAGCAAAGTCACATAACTCTAAAAGATTATAATGGTCTTTAAACCTTTAAAAGTTTAAATGACTTGCAGGACCTACATCTGACTGGACTCTGTTCCCAGGGTACCTATACATGTGCATCAAGGCTGCTCCAATGCACTCCAGCATACTCCAGCATCGTGTGTGAGCGTCCCTGATCTGAAAAATGGCGGCAGGGGTGCTTTACCTAAAGTTTGTTTGATGAGCTTTGGTTAAAGTGTCCCCACCACTATTTTTCAGTGCCGGAACGCTGATAGATGTGATGCTTTGGGTGTTTTAATTAGAGAGGCTCTTAGAACTGCTCTAATTAAAGCACCCCCCACCCTGCCAGAGCATGTGTATAAACGCCCCCAGAATTCAAAATTAGCCACTCAATCATGCTGTTAAACGACATGTATATTTCTTTAAAAAGCAAGAAATACCACTGAATTTAAATATCCTCCATGCTGTGGTAATGTTGGAATCATGTTGTAGCCATGATGAAGGTACCTTGTGTCCAAAAGCTGGTCTCAGATCTCACCCAACTATACATTCCGACAAAAGATATTACCCAGAAAAATCCTCTTGAACACTGAACTTAACTTTATTTTGTACCACAGTATTAAAGTGCTGAAAAAGAAAAATCAGATAAAGGGGAAACATACCTGCTTTCTGGAACTTTTCCATGATGTTGTGCCGAACTGACTTCTCTAAGTTAAAGTAGTCGTGGTCCTCATCAGGGTCTTTTAGAAATAGAGGAATGTGCTGAAATACAATTACATGTTTACACTTCTGTTTTTCAGCAATAGCCAGCTGCCCATTGAGCCATTCATCTTGGGCCTGCTTTAACTCAGGGCATTTAGAAGAATTGAAGTATAACTGAGAATTCAGCACAAGAAAGAAAACTCCTCCAATCCAAAAACTGAAGTAGTCATCGCCCCAATGCTTGCAATAATCATCTATAGTTTCTGGTGTTGGAGCATTGCCAATATCATGATTTCCACTGACAAATACCAACGGGATATCTTGGTCAACCTTCTTCAGAACATTCTTCAAATCTTGCTCTTGGTCCTTTCGCCACTGAGTTCCTATAAAATGAAAAGCTCAGAGTTATTTATCAGAAGTTCATGTTTATACTTTATTCTTCTGCTCCCATTACCTATATCTGTTTATACAACAGCATGTATAGTACTCCCATCTTTTTGATCATTCAAATAAATAGCAGAAAAAACTGAACCGTTATGTACATGTACATGAATTTAAAAAAAAAAGAAATATTAACTAAATTGACTCCCCTTTCATGTATTCTCTTCCTGCCTTCTTCCATACCTAATATTCTAAAATTCTCAAAACTTTTCTTTGCACAAAACTGCTGACAAGGATCTATAGGGTGCATGATGGTGGATGCTGTAAGAATGTGGAGTCAGTATGCTGCTTTATCAACTCTTCATCTATTTGAAGCTTGTTGGGTTGTTTTTATATCTGCATTTTTCTATAGGCTGATGATCCACTGAGGAAAATTCAAAATTACTGGACAGTGTAAATCAAGTTTTACACAAGGGTAAAAAAAACAATGTAAACATCTGGTTTAAACTTTATGTCTGTGCAAAGGAATGAAATTTTTGCTCATTACTAGAACTACTTAAACAGCAAAAATGTAATTAGTGTCTTGTGGCAACTCATTTATATAAGAGACTGTTTTAATAATGAACATGGTGTTAATTCCAAAGAAGGGCAACTGCTTACTTTGCCGATTTGTCCCCCCTCCTCATGTCTGACTTACAATAAGCATGTCTAGATATTCACCCTTCTGCTGGAGATAGCTGTCCTTCTCAAAATAGGTGTAATTAGTTACTAGAGTGATTTAGTAGATTCAAATCTGTTCTTCAGGCATAGGTATGCCCATATATTGTGTTCCTAAAGCACACATTGAGTCAGCTGCCCAAGACACCTAGGATCTCAGTACAATCATTTGAGAAATTCCAGCAGCACCAAAGAGCGATTCAGGTTTAGATGTAGTGGTTGAGCCCAACTGCTGGGCAATATCCTGGAGGTTAGGCCATTTGCCTAGGAAGGAGAAGACCTGGTTTTCCTCCTCAGTCTCTGCTGTCACAGTTATGTCTTCTTTAACCAATGACTCTTAATGTAAACTACAGAAAACAGTTTTGGCAACAGGGATCAGAAGCAGCAACCTGCATCTCAAGGAATTGCTTTCCTCTCTAATCTATTGCTCTCCTCATTGTCTTGCTTGCTCTCCTTCTGACCTATGGATGTTGTTTCCTTGTTTGCCTAGTGGGCCAACTTCAACAGGATGCATGGAGAGGACCTTTATTCAGCCTGTTCCATAGCTTGGTGATCACAGAACTCTCTTAAGGAGTAGATGTAGGTTTAAATCTCCTTAGGGTGAGGACTGCCTACAACTCAGGCCTTTCTGTGTTTCACATTTCTATTAGAAGGTCCACATAATTTGTGTCTTTCTCTCTTAAAACATGAGGGCAAGGAACAGTGGAATCCCTATGTTCTGTGTATGTAGGCACCAGAGAAGAAGCGCTATGTGCCCGATGGCTCGAAAATGGTATTTAGAGGCTTGCTTTTGGGAACTGGCTTGTAGGTAAAGTAGATATTGCCTTAGAACAATGGTCCAGGGGAATGGTAAGGGTTAATTGGTTTGAAAAAACCTGTTTGTGACAAAGTCTCCTTCAAGGCTCACTGTGTCTGAAGCCAGCAGACACACAGGCTGGAAAGTGGAAAACATGTACCACACTGTTCTATAAGATGAACAGTATACCGAAATAGAGATAAAGGACTCTGCAGCATGGGCACCATGTCACAGTGCCAAACTGCAAAGCCCTTGGAATTTCCAGCTTTGGTGAGCAGACCAAATTAGGAGAGTGGTAAAAACCCAAATTAAGATGTGTGCATGTGATAGGTTTGTGAAACAAAGTACTATGCTGACACAACAGAACGTGGACAGTATGATGACCACAGGGAAACTAATTAATGATGTCCAGGAATAAAGAGTCATCAGAGGAGGAAAAGGATACAAAAGGAGGGATTTCAGAGCAGCAAAGGGCCCCTGAGAGGGGAACCTGAGGCCACCATAGACAGAGGCCACCAGCCCTCTCACCCACCCTGGGTGGGGGGAAGGTGGGCCTCGGCCCTTGACCTCCAGGCTGCTGACATCTGACAATCAAGAAAGAGCCTCTGGGTGAAGCTCGCATACTGGCCAGACATACTTTTTTCCCCTCTGTGACAGGTCTAGAACTGGTAGATATAATATAAAATTGTTTGTATTATTTTTACTTGCTATCACTACGCATCAATAACATTTGCCCGTTATCAAGGTTGTGGTCAGTCTGAGGGTTGTGGTCCACCCAGAACAAAGTATCTGGGTCATAAATCCAGTATCAACAGTGCCCACATATTTATACTATAATGGCATCTAAAACCACAAAAAGGCAAGTATCATAATACAATGCTCAAATACAGATTCCCTTCTCTTGACAGCTTTCAAAAAAGAGGGAAGGAAACTGCTAACACAGATGGGTTAAATAATTTGCTCAGGGTCTACAGCAGATCACTGACACAGCAGAGAACAGATCCTAGACTCCCAAATTCCACTATAGAGTTCAATATAATATAGAACTGTCCAATGTAGTTCAGCATAATATACACAATGGGGACAGTTAAATAAAAGTAAAGCATTATCACAGATCTTGGACTCTACTGCAACTCTTTCTCAAAGGGAGAAAAAAAGATGGGTGGGATGCTGCGAGGAGGAAAACTGCTGAAAAGCATGGCAAAGAAATATCACTCAGGAAGTGTCAGAGGAGACAGAAGTAAAGTAATAACTAGTTCGTTTCTATTTAGTTTATCCTGGAGCCATAGTGTCACAGTGCCTTGAGTCACAAGGTACACCATTATATGATTATATTACATATTATGTTCTGTAAATACTGTGTTGCTCCAAGATAAATTACTTTAAAAAGTAATAGCCCATGAAGAATAGTTTTGCTCTTATGGAAAATGCAGCAACCAGAACTGTCAGTAGTAGAGTTGCCTGTAATTTCCCTCTGCGCTCTCTGCTCTACCTTTTTTGAAAGATGAGTGACACGAGCAAGAGTATAAAAGAGTAAAAGTCAATGCGTCTGTTGCAGTGCATCTTTCTGTTGCTGGTTATTTGTCTAAACAGTTCCAATATTCCATCATATAATGTTCACAGGAGTCAAAGCAACCCGTCTTCTCCCACTTAACAAGCAGATTTCAAGGGAGAAGAATATTTTGCAAATGTCTTACCAAAGCTTATTGCAATGAGCAGGAGTAGAACTGGCAGATTATTCTGCCAAAGTAATAATTCTTTTGCTAATAATCCAAACTACAACTGATTTTGGTAGCTCCATGAAGGGCACCTGGATATTTAAGACTGTTATAAAAATGCATGAAGTACAATTGCTTGTTTAAAGAACATATACCCAGATCCATCTCCTGGGGTTTGGGAAAATGGTTTATTGTAACTTTGTACCAAAATGTTTTCATAACACTATAGGAAAATCATTAAAAACAGACAAACAAACAAAAACAGATAAGACTAAAAGACACCTCAAGAGGACATTTTCTTGCTCCAAAGCAGACTCCAGGTATTTGGATCCAGGCATTTTCTTGCTCCAAAGCAGAATCCTGGTTTTTTGAGATCTCTAATAACTGAGGTTTTACAACTATCCCTACAGTGAGTTTTTCCTAGCGTCAAATCTAATTCTCTCTTTTTGCAATTGAAGCCCATTACCTCTTGTTCTATCCTTAATGAACAGTATAACATTTCTCATTGTACTTATGTCTCCCTTCAGTATTCCCTTCTGTAGACCAGGGGTTGGAAACTTATGGCCTGCAGGCTGGATTTGGCCTGTAGAACCATTGATTTCTAGTCTGCAGAGCATGGGAGCTCCTACTGCACTTAGGTGGTGGTAGCAGTGGTAGAGGGAGCCTGGTAGAAAGTAGGGCTGTGCAAAATGGTGGAGGGGGTTTGGGGAAACTGCAACCCAAAATCTTGAAAGCAAAACTCATGTCACATGTATGTGCTAAGCCACAGCGAGGTCAAAACTGCAGGCATGCTAGCCCCTGCAGAGGCCACAAAGCCTGTCAAGTTTCAAGGAGATAGGTGCAGCGGTTTGGGGGAAACTACTTCAAACTGCGGACAAGCAAAACTCGTGACATGGGTGCTTGTGCAACTGTGTTGGTCTTGGGGCAGAGTGGGGTGAAAACTGCAGGCTTGCTAGGCCCTGTTCTTGCCATGAAACTTGCCAGCTGTTAAGGAAATAGGTGCAGGGGGGTTCTGGAGCCCTGCACCCCTAGCTGCTGTCAGACAAAACTTGTGACGTGCGCTCGTGCAACTGCTGCCTCTCATCAGGCAGCAGGACTGAAGATCCCCCATCACTTGCCAGCACAGACCTGGGGGTAATAACTGACCACAGTATGAACATGAGCCGGCATTGTGATACTGTAGTCAGCAGGGCCAACAATACCTTGGCCTGCATCAATCGATGCATCTCCAGCAAAACCATTGCAAATAAGTGATCCTCCTGCTTTACTCGGCATTGGTGAGACTGCAGCTGGAGTACTGCGTCAAGTCCTGGGGCTCCGCACTTTAACAAGGACATGGTAAAGCTTGAGAGAGTCTGGAGACGGTCTACCCATATGATCAGAGACTAGCACAGCAAGCCATATGAGGAAAGGCTGAGGGGCCTGGGACTCTTCAGCCTGAAAAAGAGAAGGCTAAGAGGGGACTAGGTAGCAGATTACTGCTACATCAGAAGTGTACATCTGGGGCTCAGTGAACAACTGTTCACCAGGGCACCCTTGGGGAAAACTAAGAGTAATGGTCACAAACTCCTGGAAGATCATTTTAGGCTCATTTCAGGAAAAACTACTTCACAACTATGGTGACCAGACTGTGGAATAAGCTCCCTCCAGAGGTGATGCGATCACCTACCCTGGAAATCTTCAAGAGGAGACTAGACAGTCACCTTGCTGGGGTCACCTGACCCCCAGTTATCTTTCCCACTTGGTGCAGGGGGTTGGACCCGATGATCTT